GTACAGGGTCTACAAGGTCTCACTATACAGATTGGATTCACAGTGATCCTCCTGTTTTCAGCTTCCCAAGCGCTGGGATTACAGGCACGTGCTACCACACCCAGTCTCAAGTGCTGTCTCAGGGTACCTCATGGGCAGGGCTAGCACAGCACACCAGGGACCCTAGTTCTTGTGTCTGCCTAGGCAGGCACTTTAATCCGTTGAGCAAAACAATTTTTTTTAATTTTTCATTTATTTATTTTTTCAAAACAATTTTTAGATGGTAGTTCCTAATTCCTCAGGGATGTAGTACTATATTTTGATTTACACTTCCTTTCAGATGATTCTGTTATCTTTCCCAGAGCAACAGTGCTTCCCAAATTAGTCCTATGTGTGCAAAGTGCAACACTGAGCCACAGCCAAGCTTGAACGCTGTGTCCTGGCCCAGATGCTTCCAGCCATGGGCAGTGTTTTCCTGTGGGGAGAGTGTCTGTTCTCCGTAAAATGGCAAAAAACCAACAGTGGCATGTCTCTGGCCCTGTTCCTACAGGGACAGTGCACAACTGGCTGCTACAGTACCTTCACAGGACAACCCATGGGAGGTGACTCCAGAAAGGCTCTCTCGGCACACGTTACAGAAGGTGGGGCGGGCGTGGGAGCAGGCGTACCAGTTGTGCATCCCTGAGAAATGTTCCACATTAAACTGGGCCACCTGGAAAAGAGAAGTTAGCACAGATTGGAAACACGAAAACAAGGTAAGAGGCACTGAACTACTTGGAAGATATGTATTGTAGTTAAATTTCTGATTCCATTATTTTAAACACCAAAGCACCTTAGGTTAAAAAAAAAAGGTTAAAATCTAGCTTAAACAAGTTGCTAAATGAATCTATACTTTCCCTTTTTGGGGGGACACAGTACCATTTAGCTCTTTGCTAATGTCCATGATCTAAGAGGGAGTGCTGTCTTACCTCGTAAGGTTCTCTGGTCTGGACAGACTTCAGGGAGCTGATCCAATCCTCCATCTCTTTTCTGTTCTCAGCACACAGCATGAGCCTCCTGAAGGGAGTGATTATCTGAAAGGGACACTTCAATATAACTGCTAATCACCAACAGAGGAATTAATGAAAAATCCAGCATCTTAAAAGGCATCTCCATTTCTAATGCCGTTTTATTTCCTTCATGAAGAAAATAAAGAGTCTCAGCAACATGAGAGGTGAATTTTATTCTCTCTATATGATATAATGTGTTGAAAGAAAGGAAAATTTCTGAAATTTTTTGTTCTCTTTGATCCCATTACTGTTTCCATTAACTGGGTTTGTTTTGTTTGCCATTTTCTTAAAAGGCTATGAACCCAAATAAACAATGTATTCATATTTCA